ATGAATTGCCTCACAATTTACTGTTTGCTTGGTATTCTACATATCAATTAAATTTACCAGCCTACGTGCTTTATTAGGTTATTATATCAAGGCCTCTTTAATTATGGACGCGCAGGAAAAGTAAGTAAATTAGCGTAACGCTGCTTAGCTATACATTTTTATTAAATTCAAGTCCACACTTAATGAAGATCTGAAAGTAGGGGCTTACACTTTCAGAGTAATTCAAACATTAGCTCATCATCTTAATTGAGAGCACAAAGGCGAGAGGCACAGCTCAATAAAAGCCAGTTCAGCAGTTCCTTTAAAACAGTAGTTAGGGAGCTCTCCTCGAAGTGCTGTGGCAGGCCTCCAGTCCCCCTGCATTAACCAAACATGGAGCCCGGCCCAGAATCCCACTTACTTAACAGACTTACACAGGCACAGACAGATGCTGCGGTCAGATTCATTTTATTTACCACTATCTAAAAGCCTCTACCATTCCTCCTCCTCCTCCTCTAAAATGCATTGAAAATGCTTAGAGGTGTAGTCTGTCGGATCCTCTTTAGGATATAAGTTTCTTCAGCTATGGGTACTTGAGACCAAATGGGCTTTCCTAAACTCTCTTAAAATACTCTTTCCAAACTCTAGATTATTTAACGATGTCCACGTATGGACATACAGGCATCATAGTGTCACACTTTGCCTACTGTGTTGGAGCGAGGAGACGTGGAGACGTGGGAGAATTTACGAAGAACAGTCTTTATTGAACCACAAAGACTCACAGTAAGGAACACACCCATAGCACGGGATTGACGTATAAAACTGGACGCAGGACACAGGAAAACACAGGGCTTAAGTACCAGGAACTCAACAAGGGGTAACAGACAAGACACACCTGAATCATATTTGCACAATCACAACATGGGAGAAACTGGGTCATGGGGAGCACATGGGGAACTAAACACAACACAGGAACACAAGGACAGTCCATGGGCGTGACATTACCTCCCCCTCCCGGAAGGCGCATTCGGGGGAACAGGAGCCCACACTAGAGCAGACTCAGGGACTGGAGCCAACACTGGAGTGGGCTCAGGGACTGGAGCTGACACTGGAGCGGGCTCAGGGGCAGGAGCCGACACTGGAGTGGGCTCAAGGGCTGGAGGCGACACTGGAGCGGGCTCAGGGGCTGAAGCCGACACTGGAGCGGACTCAGGGGCTGGAGCCGACAGTCTTTTCCTCCTTATATTCCTCCTTTGGTTTGAGGTTAGGGAGACAGCTGCTGTCAGCTAAGGGCTTGGGAGTGAATTGGCCGGCGATGAAGTGGACTGTGGGCTTGAGAGTGCAGCGGCTGGCGGGCTTGACTGCGGAGCGGTTCTGGATCGGGGCCGAATGCTCTCCAGACACCGGAGGGTCCCTTCCTTCCAGCATAGTCCTGTGGTGTCTGGGAGGTCGACTGGCGACACTGGAGCGGGCTCAGGGGCTGAAGCCGACACTGGAGCGGACTCAGGGGCTGGAGCCGACAGTCTTTTCCTCCTTATATTCCTCCTTTGGTTTGAGGTTAGGGAGACAGCTGCTGTCAGCTGAGGGCTTGGGAGTGAATTGGCCGGCGATGAAGTGGACTGTGGACTTGAGAGTGCAGCGGCTGGCGGGCTTGACTGCGGAGCGGTTCTGGATCGGGGCTGAATGCTCTCCAGACACCGGAGGATCCCTTCCTTCCAGCATAGTCCTGTGGTGTCTGGGAGGTCGACTGGGCGATGGTAGTTGGCCCCGATCCAGAACAAAGAATTCAGTGTGGCGTCATTCAATGCGTCAAGACGGCGAGCCCACAGAATTCCCTGGCATACTCCACAAAAGGAAGGTCCTTACAGGCTAGCAAATCTCGCAGGGGTTTTGCATAATCATGAAAAAAACACTTTTAAAAACGGAAACAAAAATGGGGGGAAGGGGCGCCGCTTACTGTTATAGGGTCCAGTGTTCTGTCACACTCTGACTACTGTGTTGAAGCGAGGAGATGCGGAGACGTGGGAGAATTTACAAAAAACAGTCTTTATTGAACCACAAAGACTCACAGGAAGGAACACACATGTAGCACGGGGATTGATGTATAACACTGGACACAGGACACAGAAAAACACAGGGCTTAAGTACCAGGAACTCAACGAGGGGTAACAGACGAGACGCACCTGAATCATATTTGCACAATCAGAACACGGGAGAAACTGGGTCACGGGGACAGTCCAGACACATAGGCAAATTGTGTCATTTTTGTTTTATTTTCCCAACTGACCCATCATGAACAAATTTCTCAAAACACTTCAGTTGTGGTAATAATTATGCAGGTGTGAATTACATTTTAAATATTTTTGCAATATTTATGTATTCTACATTTATTAGAATATGAACTCCACAAAAGGAAGGTCCTTACAGGCTAGCGAATCTCGCAGGGGGTTTGCATAATCATGAAAAAAACACTTTTAAAAACGGAAACAAAAATGGGGGGAAGGGGCGCCGCTTACTGTTATAGGGTCCAGTGTTCTGTCACACTCTGACTACTGTGTTGAAGCGAGGAGATGCGGAGACGTGGGAGAATTTACGAAAAACAGTCTTTATTGAACCACAAAGACTCACAGGAAGGAACACACATGTAGCACGGGGATTGATGTATAACACTGGACACAGGACACAGAAAAACACAGGGCTTAAGTACCAGGAACTCAACGAGGGGTCACAGACGAGACGCACCTGAATCATATTTGCACAATCAGAACACGGGAGAAACTGGGTCACGGGGACAGTCCAGACACATAGGCAAATTGTGTCATTTTTGTTTTATTTTCCCAACTGACCCATCATGAACAAATTTCTCAAAACACTTCAGTTGTGGTAATAATTATGCAGGTGTGAATTACATTTTAAATATTTTTGCAATATTTATGTATTCTACATTTATTAGAATATGACTATAAATATAATAAAATGAACAAATGACAAATTATGAATTAGTCAAATTAGTGATATTCACATTAATTTTCCTGTTTACTTCACACATCATGTCTCAAATTTCATCATAAGGATGATCTTCACTGACACTGACTGAACAATTGCACTAATAAAACAACTTTTTAGACACAAAATTGTTGATTGTGGTGGATATTACTTTACAAATGGGGCAGTCAAAGTCATGCCTCTTTTTATATTAAGTACTGACTGGTCCATGTCTGAGACAAGGATAAAAAAGTCTGCAAATGCAAGGCAAAAATAAATGGAATTCTGTCAGGATCACTATCATCAAAGGCTGTATGGTTCTGTTCTGGGCAAAAAACTCCCTGCCCTTTCATGCAGCCTAGCATGGATAAGAGCAGGGAGATCTGTAAAACAGAACAGAACCAACATAAATGTAGCAGATATCATTAATAATAATAATAATAATACATTTTATTTAAAGGAGCCTTTCAGAGCACTCAAGGACACTGTACAATTGAGTGATAATCATAAAATCAAGACAACAATACAACAAACAACAACTATTAACATAAAATTATTTAAAATTGATCAGAGAAAGCTAGACCCCATAGTGGCTAAACAAATAGAAGGTACAACAAGGGAAACAGATGAAGAAGATCTGAGAGTACGCTTCGGGATGTAAATATGAAGCAAATCAGAGAGATATTGTGGTGCAAGATTATGAAGAGCTTTAAAAGTGAGAAGTAGAATCTTATACTCTACTCGATATTTAACAGGAAGCCAGTGAAGATGGTAGAGAACTGGAGTGATATGCTCGATGGAGGAGGTTCTAGTAATTATAAGGGCAGC